CGGCGGGGCTGTGCCCCACCCGCCAGCCCTTCCCTCCACCCGTGTGAGAGAAATTCCGGAGCGCGTTCTCCTCCCTTACTGCTCTCCCCTCTTTCCCCTTTTCCAGAGAGAAGAATCAAGGAGAAGAGATGAGGAGAGGAAGGAGAAAGTGAAATCCTAGGATGCTGCTGGGAACTTCGATCCTTTCCCTGCGCAGAAATGGAAGAGGCATCCCGCTCCCTCCGGTGCGGAGCGGCTAAAGCCCTGCTCCCGAGAAACCCAGCTGAAAACCCCAGAGGCTGAGCCCGGCGGCTCAACGGGAGTGTGATGCTTGGAGAAGCTTCTGCCCGCTTCGCGCAGGAAGGATGGAGATCCCCACAGCACTTGGGCTCCTGGTAGAGCTCTTGACTCTGTTATCCTGTCTCGGATGCGTGGAGGTAAGAAGTGGTTATTCTTCTGTCTGCCTGTGGGAAGTCTTTTAATATCCTCACTGTAAGTGGATCTTGTTATTACTTGAATATGTTTTCCACAGTGTCCAGGCAGCTGTGGTCTCTAGGCTCGGCTGGGGGCTTGGGGAGGGACTTACTTCCTTGTGCATATGCAATTCAGAAAAGGAAACAAAGCAGGAAAGCAGGATGCACAAGGGCTTGCAGATGCTTTGGCTCAGGTTTCCTATGCTTCTCAGGCACTGCAGTGACTCTGGCAGGAGAGATCCTTTGTTTCTGTTCTGTACTCATTGACTGATTACCCCAGTCGCTGCTGCGGACAGATGATTTATAGCCGCGTGGACCTGGGACAGTGACTGCAGCACAGGCTGTTTGCACTAAAATTTGGTCGTGGTGATGATCAGCGTTGGGGGATTTTGGAAGCTGCCTCGGGAACTGGCAGCATCTGATCTTCAGTTCGAAGGGAAGCGTATTACTTGGACTGCAGTTCTTTCGTCTGTGGTCAGTCTCCAAGAAGAGCAGGTTCAGGCTCTCGTAAACAGCCTGTTATTAGTCCAGCCCACCCCTCTGTCGCCTGCAGGCTTGCGTGTGTGGGGGGGTGCACGCTAAAAGCTGGGAGTCGGGAGACCTGGATGATGGCGCAGTCACAAAAGTGTAGCTCAGCTCACCTCCCTCTCTTTGCAAGGAGCTTTGAGATCCTCAGCTAAGTCCTTCAGCATTGTTGGTTCGCAGACCTTTACGTGGGCTTGCAACAACCTGATGCATGCAGATAGATGGATTTCTGGCTGAAAAGAGTTTTTCATCTAAATGCTGCTTTACCTGTGCATCCCCTTGTGCATACACAGCTGAAAGCTGAGCTGCTGTTTCTGAACCACATCAGAAACTTATCTTCAATATGTGGTGTGACATTCTGACTTCTGGAGGGTGATGCTGGAGCGTGGCCATGGCTGTCGGCACCTTGCTGGACTACGTTCATAAGCTTGATTTGAAACTGGCATCTGCCATGAGTAGGTGTCGTTCTTGTGGGGTCTCTGTGGGAGCTCTCTCTGCTTATTCCAGAGGTGGATTTGGGCAGATTTTACTTTTCCCCTTTTACAGGGAGAGGTGAAGCTGAGAGAAGCAAAACTACTGCATTTTGAAGAGAAACAGAACCGTTTCCGATAGCTAGTATTCTTTATAGGTACACCTCTGCTTTGTGAATTAGAACTCCTTGTTCATATAAAAGTGCTAGAAATGTTCATTAAGAAGTATTTAGAAATGAATTAAACTACATGGCGCTAGCAGAAGCGTGTACGGTTTCTTCTTTTCACTCCGAGTCTGTGAAGATCTTGCACCTGCCTGTGCACCGTGTAGTGGTGTTGAGTGGAGATCCCAATCTCTCAGCCGGCAGTCAAGTTATAACCGCCAGAAACACTGCCTGTGCGAGGAAATGCAGTTTGGGGGCTGGGCGGGATGCTGGAATTCTGAGGGCTTTGTTTCAGATTTTTTTCTCTTAGCTATCTGACTCCATTTGGATAAGAATACCATAGGCTGTATCGTATTCTCCTGTATGAAAACCAAAATCCTCAAAAAGCCTTGTTGGATTTTCTTCTTCAGGTGTTTCCCACTCTGTACACGGCTGTTTATTACTATTTTAACAGGGATCCCTGGGGGATCACCCCATCACGTCGATACACCTCTGCTGCTGTGGCCAGAGATGGCTTGCCCTATAAACAGAGAGGGAAAGAGTGGTTAT